TCCCTTAATTATTTTGCAATTATGCCCTATCACAATTCTAATTTCTTCCCCAAAACTCTTCTATTGCCCCTAGATCTCCTTTCCTATACCCTGTGATGTTTTGCTGTCTTATATAGATCTTGGACTTTAACTGTGGCCAAGAACCCAACCTTGGCCTGTCCTTAGTGGCCTAGCACTTTAGATTGAGAGAAGATTCAGCCTTATTAACATGATTCAGTACTATGGGAGCCAGTCAAGCAAGAAAACAATATAGCTGAAGATTATTGTGTCCATGCCCCAGTACTTCCAGCAGCCTAGGTTAGAGGAGATCCATACCTCCCTGTCCCCTTCCTGAATTTGCATTTCCTACGTATCACTAATAGCAATTATCTCTGACCCTTCCTGCTGTGTCCTGTTCAATGTTCCCTCCCATACCAGTATGGGGGTGGAGCTTAGATGTCAGTAGTCCTGCCAGCTTTTTGGTTGCCTTGCCTATGAGGACCAGGAATTTCAGAAAAATTATCTTTTCTCAGGCTTTGACTATGGGGTAATTGGTATACTCTTTTGCTGATGTAGGGAATTATAATAGATAAGAAATCAGAGCTTCAAGGGGCAAGTATACAGAAATATTTTCATATAAAATCCAGATTCTCTATTACTTAGGCCCTCCTTTACCTCTAGGAAGTTCTGATGAATGAGCACTTTTATTTAATGACTGTTCTTAAATGTAATTCACAGAGATCAGTTATACGAGAGATCTGCATATCATTAGGGAGCATTTTCAGCTGCTGATACAATCCGCTGAGTGCTTCAGCCCTGAACAACTGCAGCTGATATTCAACGTTTTGTTGCTCACTGATCTCAACCAGAAATCTCAGAGAGCCTGCAGAGAAGACATTTTAAGCCCTGGTTCATGTTGGATTCGGGAAGGCCTCCCCCAGCTCTGTGGCTCTGACTGGGCTATTAGTCTCAGCACTCCTGCACTAAGTCATCACTTAACTGCCACCCTGGTTTTGTACCTTTTTCTCTTCACAGGCCTCAGAAGGCTCCCCTGAAAATATAACAGTTTGTCATCTAGTACTTTTATTTTTGTAACAATAGTTGGCTAAAGCAAATACAGAGAAAGGAAAGTAGTAATGACAAAGGTGATCCTAGTTACACTACAGAGAGCTGTTTCTAAGACTTGGTTAATTGGGTTATGCTACTTTCTAAGATCAACTGAGAAACATTCTGTTTCTATGCTCTGTATAGATTATATCACATAGGAAATATCAGTTCCTTGAAAACCTGTCTTAGTCTGGGATGCTTTAACTGCTTTACAGATTTTAACAAAAGCATAATGTCATGTATCCAGCATCACAGTATGAAACAGAATAGTTTCATTGCCTTAAAAAAATCCCCTGTACTTGGCATAGTAATGCTTCTTTGTCTTCTGCCAAACCCACCAACGGCAATCATGCATCTTTTTACTGTTTCTGTAATTTTGTCTCTTTCAAAATGTCCTATTTTTGGTTCAAGCAATATATAGCTTTTTCAGTGAGTGACTTCTTTCACTTAGCAATATGTATCTAACATTCCTCCATGTCTTTTCATAGTTCGATAGCTCAATTCTTTTTATCACTGAAGAACATTCCATTGAATACATATACCACAGTTTATACATCCAGTGTTCCAAGTTTGGGCAATTATGGCTAAAGCTGCTACAAACATTCATGTGACATAAGTTTTCACTGATTTGAATAAATACTTTGGAGCATGATTACATAGTAAGTCTATGTTTAATAAGACTGCTACACTATCTTTCAAAATGGTTGTACCATTTTGCATTCCTACCAGGAATGAATGTGAGTTCCTGTTGCTTCAGAACCTTGCCAGTAGTTGAAGTTGGAACTATCATAAGTCAAAAATGCATTTAATATATCTAATCTACCAAGCCTCAGAGCTTATCCTAACCTACACTGTAGGGAATTGGTTGCTTACCCCTGTGATTACATGGTTGACTGGGAGCTAAAGCTCATTGCCACAGTCCAGCATTATAAGAGAATTTCATACCACATATTACTAGCCCAGGAAAAGATCAAAATTCAAAACTGAAAGTATAGGTTCTACTCAATATGTACCATTTTCATACCATCAAGTCAAAACACCCTAAGTTGAACCATCAGAAGTTGGGCTCCATCTGTATGTATTTATATATCCTAAAGTTGTATTTTTCACAAAAATCTTTAATTTCTTTAAGATTTGAAGATTTAGGGCTGGCAGCTGGTGTGGTGGTTAAGAGCTCTGGACTCCAGTATGGTCAATCACAGTTCGAGTCCTGGACTTGGCAGCTTGCTTTCTACTTTCTCTTTTTCTCTCTCACACTCTGTCCTCTGGTCAAATTAAAGTAAATAAATAAGTAAAGTTAAATAAAATAATTATTTAAACAAATAAAAAAAGATTTGAAGATTTGTGGGTATAGAGTTATATGTTGGACTAAGACACATTTAACAAATATTTTTTAAGCAAGGGAGATTTTTTGAAATAGGGCACATGTGTTTGCTGGAGAGACAGAGAGAGAGAGAGAGAGGGACAGAAAGTGAAAAATCATCCTCTGCAGGGGGTTCAGCCACACCGAAATCCCTTCTCCTCCATTCTCTTGGGATCTGGGGCATGTACTCGCACTTGCCCGGTGTAACTTTTAAGCTCTGGGTTTGGGACTCGAACCATGGTCAACTACATGGGAGTCCAGCCACCTAACCATTATACCATCTGTTTGTCCCAACACATTTAATTTTTTAACAAATATTTATATTTAACAAATATGTGAGCACAAATTATGTTGAAGATACATTAGGTATAAAAGATACATCAATAAGTAAGGCTGTTTAAAAATACTGGCTTAAATTTTATATATATATATATATATACCTCATGGGGGATGGCCACACTGAAATCACTTCTCCATTCTCCTTCTGGGATCTTGGGTACACACACACATGTGCCTGGCATGATTTTCAGGCCGCTGGGTCCAGGACTCGAATTGTGATCAGTCATGTGGGTGTCCAGCCATGTAAACACTTCACCATCTGTTGGCCCTTAAATGATATCTATTATAAGGGAAGGTGAGAGACAATGAGAAGAGAAGTACTGAAAAGGAGGAAAAGCAATTGGCAATAGTAAACTGAAGAGGATGTGACATTACTTGCCCCCAAATCTCCCCTCACTATAATTAGGGATATGGTCACTCTCTAAAGGAGAACTTAGTGACAGCAGATTTTTATGATTTCTGCAGTTTCTAATCACTCTGAGGTTCAGAATACCCAGATCCCTCAGTATAAAATGACACTATTTTATAACCTATTTATTGGCTGACTATTCTATCGTATCAGTCATGTCAGGTTTCCCAAACAGACTGTGCACATGCTGTTCTATCTAATCTTTGTCCTGTTTTCTCTGGGTCAACTCCAATCTTTAATAATTTTTTTCACTCTCTCAGAATCTAAATTGCTTCTATTAAGTTGTATTCTGAATTCTTCCCATTCCATCTGTACTACCCTTTCAAAAAAGTTGTTTGGTTCTTTAATTTTTCCACTCCATCTTCTCCCTTCATTCGGCTAGTGTTCACCATAATTCTCACTGAATGATAAATCTCTGCTCACTCAAGAAAAAGTGAAGTTTGTTGTGTAAAGGAGTACTCAATATAACATTCAGGTGATGGTTTATGTTTTCTCTAAATTAGAAGCAAGTTCATTTTCTGGGATTTTGAGGGATAGGTATAGGGTTGGGATTTGAGGAGGGTGGTAAATATTGAAATAATTACTTGGGAAATGGAGCGGGTATCTGAAGACACACCGAAGATTTGGAATTGTGCTAAGGATGGAGTAAAGTTAGAAACTGAACGTTCAGTGGTCATGACACTGATGTCACTGACATTGTCCTGATATCTCCTATAGCATTCTGGACTCTAAAGAGAAGGGTGGAGAAGAACAGCTGTTAGTCTGATCCTGGTGCGGGACTTTGCTGGGCGGGTACGGTCAGATATGAGACTATATTGAAGAAATACTGTAGTTTTGAGTTACTGCAAATCCTGGCTCTACTCCTCAATATGTGACCTTGTGCAAATTACTTAATCTTTTAAAGTCTTACTGTATCATGCAAAATGAGCATAATCATATGTATTTTATCAATTCAAGCAGATACTGAGTGCCCTACTCTTGTCAGACCTGGAGACACAGTTGAGATCAAAAGACACAAATTCTTGCATTCTTGGAATTAATCCAATGAAAGAGAAAATAAACAAATAAATATACAGTATTTTAGTATCCTACATAGTATAAAACGAATAGGGAAAGCACAAACAAAAAGGTG